CTATTCTTCTCCCAGAAAAAACAAATAAACACAAAATCAAAAAAAAATGATAAAATGAATTACTCATGCCCTATTTGTTAGTCCTCAACTCCTGGATTAATTGCCTTTACAAGGAATTTTCTTAGTGGAACAGATGTGAAGTCTGATCTAGGAAAATATGATTTCACTATAATTTAATCACTAATAACTTTGGACAAATTAAACATTCTATATCCATTTCAGCAAATGAAGTGATAATAGAATACCTTGAGTTCTAGAAAACAAAATCTTTAAAAAAGTGGCATTCTAAATAATTGTAAAATATTGTATGCTTCTCTACAAAAAGAAAAGTAAAACTAGAAGTAGCCTTTTGGCATTTTTCACCATAAGGAATGTTAAATGTTTGAGGGTATAAATATACTTATTCTGACTGGCTATAGCAAATGCATACCTATTGAACATTAGCTATTATCCAATAAATAGGGACAATTTTAACAGGCTTGCTAAACATTTTCAATAAGAATTTTTTAAAAGTCTATTGTTCAAAGATTTGCCAAGATAAGTATATGGCATTTAAGATGATTTTTGTACTGGTAGAGAGAGACAGGTCAAACATTCTTCTTCTGCATGAAGATAGTGAGTTTTCCCAGCACTATACATTGGAAAGATTGTTTTTCCCTATGTGTGCTCTTAAAGCCTTTGTCAAAAATCAATCAGCTGTAAATTCATGGTTTTATTTCTGTAGTCTCTAGTCTCTTCTATTTGTCCATAGGTTTTTCTTAGCCTGTACTGTGTGTTTTTTTTTTTTTTTTTTTTTTTGGAAACTATAGCTTTGTAGTGTATTTTGAAGTCAGTTATTGTGATGTCTCCAACTCTGTTCTTTTTGTCAAGATCGCTTTAGCTATTCTGGATCTCTGAGAGTCCATATTAAGTTTAGGATTCCTGTTATTTCTGTGAATGATGTCATTGGTATTTTGAAAGAGAGATTGTAATGAACCTGTAGATTTCCTTGGGTTTTGTGGACATTTTAACAATATTAAATCCTCCAAACAGTGAAGAACTAATCATCATTCTATTTATTTATGTCTTCCTTTCATCAATGTTTTATATATTTTTTCAACTATATAGGTCTTTCAACTTCCTGGTTAAATTTATTTCTAAGTACTTTTTGTAGTTATTGTAAACAGGGTTGTTTTCTTGTCTTCTTCAGGTAGTTTACTGTTAATGCATAAAAATATTCTGTATTAAAGTCACTGGTTAGTTCTAAAAGTTTTTTGTTAGAGGTATATTTTTGTTGTTGTTGCTGTTTTAATACATAGCAGGGGCAATATATCTTCTTGCTTTCCATGTTGGATGCAGTTTATTTCTTTCTCTTGTCTAATTGCTTTGATGAGAATCTCCAGTATTACATGGAATGGAAGTGGTGGGAGTTATGTTAACTGTGGGGTTTTCATATATGAACTTTATTATGTTAAGTACATTCTTTCTATATCTGTTGTGATTTTATCAAGAAAGGATGCTGAATTTTTCAAGTGCCTTTTCTCAACCTATTGACCATTATTTGTCCTTCCTTAGTTTAATGTAATATGCCATTGTTATTGATTTGTGAATATTGAACCATTTCTGGGGTAAATTCTACTTGATTATTGTGAATACTGTTTCTAAAGTATTGTCTAATATCGCTTGTTGGTAACTTTTTGATGATTTTTGCATCTATGTTCATCAGGGTTATTGGTGTGCGACACTCTGTCTGGTATGGTTTTGGGAACAGGCATTGTAAAATGAGTTTAGAAGTATTCTCTTCTCTGTAGTTGTTTATAGGTGATTCAAAAGAATTGACACTAGTAGTCCTTAAAATAATTCATAGAATACAGTCATGTAGCCATGAGCTACTAGGATTTTCTATTATGGGAGACTTTTTATTTCTGTTTTAATCTCCTTATTCATTGTTGGTCTGTTAAAATCTTCCATTTCTTTTTTCTTTTCTTTTCTTTCTTTCTTTCTTTTTTTTTTTTTTTTTTTTTTTTTTTTTTTTTGACAGGCAGATTGGACAATGAGAGCGAGACAGAGAGAAAGGTCTTCCTTTGCCGTTGGTTCACCCTCCAATGACTGCTGTAGTGCTGCGGCCTGTGCACCACGCTGATCCGATGGCAGGAGCCAGGTGCTTCTCCTGGTCTCCCATCTGGGTGCAGGGCCCAAGGACCTGGGCCATCCTCCACTGCACTCCCAGGCCACAGCAGAGAGCTGGCCTGGAAGAGGGGCAACCGGGACAGAATCCGGCACCCCGACCGGGACTAGAACCCAGTGTGCCGGCGCCACAGGAGAGGATTAGCCTATTGAGCCATGGTGCCAGCCCAGAATAGTCTCTTATGATCCTTTGTATTTATATCAATTTTAATGTCTCTCCTTTCATTTCTGATTCTATTCATTTAAATCTACTCTCCTTTTTTCTTAATTCAACTAAAAGTTTGCTAATTTTCTTTATCCTTTCAAAAGAATCCATTTTAGTTTTGTTGGTCACTCTTATGTCACTCTTATTATTTCCAGTCTCTATTTCATCTATTTCTACAAGGATCTTTATTGCTTCAATCCTTTGCTTAACGTTGCAGAGATAAGCGAGAAATGAAAGAAATTGAGCAAAGTCAATGCAACCTTAAAGTTTATGTATTGTAATGGGGTTAGTAAATAGTCCAGCAAGATTTAAACATGAGATACTAAGTGTCATCTAGAAGAGGACATTTCTGAATAGTTAGAGTAGAAAGAAATAAAATAGAAAAGGGATGGTAAGAGTTAATTGTACTTGTTTTAATGTTGTGCCAAGAAATTTTAATTCTACCTTCAAAATGATGGAAATACATTGAAGATTATTAAGCAGCAGATTAAAATATCTTCCAAAACATGCTGGAAGACCGATTGACTTGAAAAATATAAGACAAAGTAAACAAATAGATGGACCTGTCTAGTTGTTCTTTATTTTTAACTTTAATTTAGTAGATATAAATTTCCAAAGTACAGCTTATGGATTACAATGGCTTTTCCCCCCCATAACTTCCCTCTCACCCGCAACCCTCCCTTCTCCCACTCCCTATCCCATTCCATTCACTTCAAGATTCATTTTCGATTATCTTTATATACAGATCAATTTAGTATATATTAAGATTTCATCAGTTTACCCCCACACAGAACACAAAGTGCCAAATACTGTTTGAGCATTAGTCATATCATTAATTCACATTGAACTACACATTAAGGACAGAGATCCTATATGGGGAGTAAGTGCACAGTGACTCCTGTTGTTGACTTAACAAATTGACACTCTTGTTTAAGGTGTCAGTAATCTCCCCAGGCTCTATTCATGATTTGCCAAGGCCATGGAAGCCTTTTGAGTTCGCCGACTTTGATCATATTTTGACAAGGCCATAGTCAAAGTGG